TTACCTTCCCCTTAATTCTCATCTCTTCAAACAGGAGTTTTTTTGCTTCTATCTTCAAGGATCTCCTCCACTGACCTGTCTGCACAAACTCCATCCCCTCCATTTTCCCTCCCGTCAAATCAGACATCTTTCAAATGAGCAATAATCAAACCTTCACGTCAATGTGGGGGAAATAGAAGAGATTAGCAATGAGATAACAGAGGGGGAACGGGGAGTGAATTAGATTTTGGTGACAGCATCTGTGGATACCACAGAGAGACTTCCACCTAGTTCAAAATCCCTTGACATAATAGCATAAAATATTAATAAAATTGGGGTGCATCACGAGGACTTCCTAGGAGGTCACCCATCCTAGTACTACTCTCGCCCAAGCACGCTTAACTTCGGAGTTCTGATGGGATCCGGTGCATTAGTGCTGGTATGATCACACCCCTTTATTTCCTTATCATTATAAATGCAGAAATGCAGAATTACATAATTACAAATTTTTAGTGAAAATAAGTTCTCTTGAAGCAGTATACCAAGTCCCAGAAATGCTTCCTCAACTGTATGAGATCTTTGAAAATAAGAAAAACTAATTTGAAAAACTTGCAGCTCAAGCATTTCTATTTGGAAAAAAAAATATCATGCTGGATAGCTAGTGAAAGAAATCAACTAATAAAAAACATGGAACAAGTTAAAAGTAGAATTTTAGTGCTCAAGCTTATATCAATGAGAAGTATAATGCAATGCCTTTATAGGGAAAGAAAAAAAAGGAATTGTATGAAATGAAAGAAAGCGATGCCATAAACTAAACCAAAATTTTACACTCCATTCTTAATAGCACCGAGATCTCACTTGTGCATTTGTTTGGTTGATAAGAAAAGATATATATTGACCAAAGGAGAATAAATGGAAGATAGCAAAGCGGGCTGAATGGCTGAACCACCAGATATAGTGATACTTACTGCAGACCTCAAAAAGGTAAAAGCCTGAAGCAGTACAAAGCAAAAGATAAAGAAGCAATAGAAGAAAAAAATTCCTACTATGGTAAATGGGAAATACCAAAACAATCTTTGATTACGATTTTGTCATAGGAAAGACTATCTGCAACCAAGGACTAGGGATCCATCTGAATTCATTTTGGATACCAGGTTTCTCCCCTCCCTATTGTATTTTCTCAAACCCCAAGGGCTTATGGTGATAGGAATGGCAATGGGATGGGTTTCTCCCCTCCCTATTGTAGTTCTCAAACCCCAAGGGCTTATGGTGATAAGAATGGCAATGGGGTGGGTTCGGGGCAGGGATCATATTCCCCGTCCCCGACCCCAATCCCCGTTGGGGATAAAATTTATCCTCCATCCCCAATCCCCAATGGAGGCAGGTCCCCCGCGGGGACCCGAATCCCTGGAAAAAAATTTAATTAAAAGTATTTTTTGAAAAATAAATTTACTTCAAATAAAATTTTAAAATATCCTCCATCTCTAACCCCGACTCCTATCAGGGATCCCTAGTAATCCCCATTCCTGTCCCCACCCTGCCAAAGCAATCCCCATCCCCAACCCCATCGGGTCGGGGAGGTCGGGTAACTGACGGGGATGGGGAAAATTGCCATCCCTATATGATGATATGGTCCATCTCTCATCTGGTCAATGATCAGCAGAATATCCACCTTAATGCATCCAAAATCCAAGAAGTTCATCAAACCTTTGTCCCTGGAGAAACATTTACATCTTAGCCCTAATGGAATTACCATCTCCAATCAGGAATGAGTAATGAAGGACCATCTCTATCCTTGACTTTTAAAAGTGCTTATATCTTATACATTTCCTCCAATGAGGTAATGCATATAGATGGGGAGTTCTCTTCCTTACTGTTTCGTTCTATTATACTCTACTTAACATCATTGTAACTAATGAAATAGATAAGGAATTTGTGGACTTACAAATCATGCTCTCTCTTTCTCTCTCTCTCTGGAAATATTATGAGTAGTCAAATTGCTGTTTTCTCAGGATTTTGCTTCACAATTAAGGGACTATATGGTTATGATTTTATTGTCTGGGCTTGTGCTTGCATTCCATATTGATGCTGATAAGCTTTTTTGAATGAAACATATAACTAGTTTATTGGATATATATTTGAACTTCAAAGTCTGCTGTCGGGTTGCATGTAATTGTTTTTTGAGAGGAAATATGAACTTTATTACTCAACTTTTTTCTGACTTGTACTTATTATACTGAGACAAACAATGGCAGGGAAACTATGAAACTGACTGAGGTGACTGTAAGTGATAAGTTGGAGGGCTTCCGTGCTTCAAAAGAGGTAAGTGTTTTGTTTAATACTTGATTAATATATGTTGAAATTCAAGAATAAAGTTTTTAATTATGAGATCTCATATACCTTCTGAACTTTTATAAAGGCTTCTGATTCCAATAATTAAATGCTGACACTTCTGTAGCCAATTTCTCTGTCTCTCTTTCTCTTGATCTGTTTTTTTCCCCCACTTGGTATTCATTTTGAATTTTCTTCTGTTCTTTGATTACATTATCAGTTAAATAGAAAACAGTTCTTATTCTTCTTGTTTTCTATTTGAAGATTCTAAACTTCCTTCTATTGATTGTCAACTTCGTGATTCCTTCGCTGTTATTTCTTCAAGTCATAAACTTTTTTTTAACAGCTCACTTTTCCAATACCGATCCAGGTTCTGTTAATCTTTCTACATTTGTATATCTTTTGTTATGGTTGGGCTTTGGCAAAGTCAAATTATTACATATATAGGGAGAAAACGAATAACTGTTCTGCTAAAGCATGAAGTAAAAAAGCATTGTGAGTCTACCTTCTTTAGTAAATAAATAAACTATGTAGAGTATGGTAAATGTTCTCATTCATGTGTTTTTTTTTTTTTTTTTTGGATTGCTAACAGATTAAGATTTTATTAAGATCTATATGAACAAGATCTAAGCAGTTTGCTAAGCACTGCTCTAGGTAGCTAGCCTTGGTTAGCCATCATTCTTAGCTGCCTATATGCAAAAAGATGTATAGCAGTATTCTCGTTTGTTTTTCAATGGGCTGTTTTGTGTATTATACGGCTAAAACTAATAACAATCTTGGTCAGATTTGTCAACTAAGAAAAAAATTATTCTTTTGAAGATTCTTAGAGACCTTTCTCAAAAAAAAGTTACTTTTGAAGATTCATATTCCTTTTCAAATTCATATTGCATATTTATGAGGTGCATACCTCTCAATAGAGGTGGAAAAAGGTGCATTTCTCATAGCATGGAAAAGGAATGTGCCTGTAGTGAGGTCTATGTTTCATGACTATGCTGTTTATACTTCCAGTTTATGCCTCTTAACACCTGAAAACACTGAAACAAATGTACTGGCCTTTTCCAGATTGTCTTGTTCTGATTCCATGTTTATGGTTTTACTGCAGCATTTCAGGGGTTTAAGCTTTCCTACCATTTCATCGGTTGGTCCTAATGCAGCAATTATTCACTATTCTCCAGACTCAAAAACATGCTCTGAGCTTGATGCTGATAGTATCTACCTATTTGATTCAGGAGCACAGGTATGTCTGAGCTTGCTGATAGTAGTTTTTCAATCTGTTGTTAATGTGGCTAGGTGGACTGGTGACCTGGTCAAAATTCATGTTTGGGTCAACCTGTAACAAGTCAAATCACAAAAGATGTTGACTTAGTCATTGACCCATTGAGCTCAATGATTGGGACATGGACCTGTTCACCTGTTCAATGGGTTGTCATTTTGTATTTTTTTTTTGAAAAATTTTATTGTTATGATATCACAGGTCAACCCATTGACTCAAAGAGTTGAACCAGTGATCCATTCACTAGGGGTTATCATTTCTAGCCTGGCCTAGCCCACAATATATATATATATATTTATTATATGTATAATGTATGTAATATAATGTATATACATATATATGTTTTATTTTGTTTTATATAAAATATAACATATGACATATATACTTTATACATATTATATATCATATGGTATAAAATATTATATATATGTTTAGCATAATATATTTAAAATTATAGGCCTAGAAGCCCAGCCTGGCCTAGCATGGCCCATGATCACCCATATTGTCCACCCGGAGGGAGAAGCAGTTCAGCCTTCAGGCTAGATTTTAAAACGTTGTCGTATGGTCAAAGTCTGGAGTAATGTTGTCTTACCATATAAGGAAAAAACTCTTGTTTAAAAGATGTTTAAGGATGTATACATCCATAGAGTACTCCCTCTACATGATGGAGATAACATGGCTTATCTAGATCACTCATCTAATAGATTGGCTATATCCACAGTGCTTGTCCACATCAGAACCATTGCCCACCTGTGATGACGTGTTTCCCTTTAATGAGTAATGGCAAGTATTGAAATTTTAAGTTTCAAAAAAGAAAGGTTAGAAAAAGGCTATTTTCCATTTTGCCAGAGCCATTTAGCTTTAAATTGCTATAGACATATAGGTTGAGGTGTCAAACAATGGATGTTTATTAAACCTCTACCTGTCTGCTACATGTGACCTCAGTATGTTGAAGTCCTTTTTCTAGATGGGCCGTCTTAAACTTTTGTAGTTTAGGTTTTACTTGTATTAATTTATTTTCCTTACTGAAATTGGTTACGGTGATGTCAAAGTATCTAGATGGAACAACTGACATAACACGGACAGTTCATTTTGGCAAGCCTTCTGCCCATGAGAAAGCATGTTATACTGCGGTTAGTGTGCTTTTATAATCATTCTAATTCTAATCTTGTTCCGTCCTATATTTGCTTCCAGTTTAACCATGATAATGTGTACTGTAAATGAGGTTGCCCTACTTTTTGTTTTTGCATTAATCTTTAATTTGTGAGCTATTTATTTGTACTGGGATTATTTGCTTTTTATGAAATTTCTTGACAAATAATTTCTAATTTTGCAGCACATACAGAATTATTTGCATCTGTGCATGTAGTTTTCCCTATTCTGTGTTTTAATCAAATGATTGCTGATCTTTTATTTGATGGGTGCCTTAATGACCATGAATGCATGCCCTTGTTTAGACATTTTCTAAGTAAATGAGTTATCATTAGTTTTTAGCCATCTCAATATCAACAATTACTTTTCAAAGTCTAATGAGTTTGGATACTAGAAGGTTTAAATTTTCAAATCTATAATTTATTTTGGGCAAAAATCCTGCTAGATAAGATCACTAACAAGTGCTTTATTTGACTGGTGGAAATATAGGTTCTCAAAGGCCACATTGCATTGGATACTGCCAGATTTCCCAATGGCACCAATGGTATTATCAAGTTACTTTTTTTTTCTCCAAAATTTTCTTGGAATTTATTGACCTGGTGTATACTTTCACAAAATGCATCATGCATGTAAACATGTCTATCTGCTTAGTTGGACTTTGTATGTCCATCTTAACTGCAAATTGCTTTGTGGCAGGACACGCTCTTGATATTCTTGCTCGTGTTCCATTATGGAAGGATGGTCTTGATTATCGACATGGTACTGGCCATGGCATTGGGTCTTACCTTTACGTTCATGAAGGTATGTAGACTTTTAGCAGTGATTTTAATTTTCTTTGTTAATGTCACCTCTACTTGATGTGCCTGTAGTCTGATGGGTGCTCCTCGTTTCATTATGTGTATGTTGTGCAGGACCTCATCTAATTAGTTTCAGACCACAAGCTCGAAATGTGCCATTAAAAGTGTCAATGACTGTAACAGATGGTAGGTACCATTCTTTTCACTATTATAATTCTTTGTTTGTTTGTTTTTTTTTTTTGAGAAAAAGGTAAGGTAAGTTTCATTAATAGAAAAAAAAAGTATGGACTTCTGTGGAGAAATCTTGCCTTGAACCAGTGATAGCTGCAGCTTCATGTTTGAATGTATTGGGCCTTACCCTTAGAATGTTATCCCACTAGATAATAATCTCGATGACTTGAAGAGAGTAGCAGAATGGAGGGTTTCAGGGAGGCTGCTAGGTGGAGGAAGACTGTTAAATTGGAGGCAAAGGTTTTCTTACTTGAGGAGTTGATGAGTCAAGGATACCCAAGCTTGAAGATACGAGAAGCAAAGAAGGCAACCATTCTGCTGGTTGGGTTAGAAGTGATTCAATGGCTGAAAGACTTCGTTCAAGTGGCAAGTTTAAAAGGCAAGCAACCAGTCTGGAAGGAGATGACCACTGATACAGGTAAACGGTACGTAGTTGAGTGTAAGAAAAATGCTAAAGGACCTTTCCTAGTTATTTCTGAGTTCCTTGCACAGGGGAGGAAGCAATTAATTTGTGTTCCTGGGGGGAAAAGGAGTCGGGGGTGGAAAGTAATGGCTGAAGCTTTGGATGAAGGATTAGAAAGATTGCAAGTAAATAAGGTAAAGGTATGTGGCGGCTCAGAGGACTCTGGGAAGATGAGGGTTGATCAGATAGCTGATGTACAAAATAGATGCGACTTGCCATCGGTGGCTAGTAAATCCACTTTGCTAGTGAGAAGTCCAGTAAATGATTGGAGAACAAATCCATTTGGGAGAACAAATGGGTTGTGCAAGTGAAAAGTCCAGTAAATGATCGGAGAACATTAGCCAACTTGGTGGCTTCGAAGCTAAAACTGAAGTCCACCTTTGTGCTAAACTCCCTTTGATAGTTGCAGGGCATTATTAGATCCCCTTGAAAATTCCCTGGAGTTCAGGGCCTCGCACTTTCAGGAAGGGTTTGGATCTTTCTGTTTTTAAGTGGACCCCTGTGTCGAACTCAAAATCCTTTTGACATAGTAGATGGGGTGGTAGTGCGTGTTATTGGACTGCCTTTTCATTTGTGGAAGAGTGAAGTAGCAGAGCTTATAGCAACCCTTTGTGTAGCCCGGTTGGAAGGAGCCTTCTGGGGTGACTTACGTTCAGCAGCCATCTTAATCAGCGGAGTCAACCCAGAGGAAATACCCAGAAGGGTGGAAGTGAGTGCAGATGGACTGCAAGTGCCTGTATGGTTGGCTTCCTCCATTGAAGCAAACCTGTGGAGAGAAGCTCGGAGGGAAGGGATGAGAAGGTAGAAGAGGAAGCCTTACGTGGCAGGTTGGGAGTGGAGGGATCAGAAAGAAACAAAGGTTTCACAAAAAAGGATAGACAGACTCTGGGATACACAAGAGGATTAGAGTTTTTAGAAAGTCAGAGACGTGAAGAACAAAGAAAAAGTTCGGTGATAGGGAAATCCTTTGCTCAGGTGGTAGCTTATGGCGCCAAAATTAGTTGTTCAAATTCTTTCTCACGGCCACGGGGGCAAGAAGACAGATGTTTGGGTAAGCACTCCATGGGCCTTTAGTCAGGTTTTTTAGAACCTTTGGGCCAGACAAGTTGTGACCCAGTAATTGGTCACGTGGGAAGTTTAAACCGGGGAAATGGGCCTTTAATACAAGATTCGCAAGGAGTGGGTTAAAAGAAGGCTTCTGGGCCAAGGTCTATGGACTGTTTGAATGAATCAAAGAAGGCACGTGCGTTCATTAAAAGTCACATGACAAGGGATGTCCCTTTGATAGAGGATAGGAACCCTCTACCGTCTTCTTCGTCGAGGTCTCCGTGTCGTTCAATTGAAGGTGCAGCTGTATCGAAGATGAGTTTGTCGCTCCAACTCAACCAAGAACCTAAAGGATCTTTTGCCGGACAGGAGGAATCCTAGGTGTGTTCTCCGGAGTGATTTGGAGAAGCTAGAACTTGACTTCCCCCATGAAGAAGAAGATTGTAGTGACTCTGACGCAGAGCTTTCTGGAGATACAGTTAGCCTAGGAAGCTTTGACTTGAGCTTGTCGAGGAGTGTGCTCGAAGAGGAGTTCTTTGGGACGGAGATTCTCTTCTTGGAGGACAGCTCTTCCGACTTGAAATCTGGTAACGTGCTTGTTGACTGTGAAGTATTGGGGTAGAGAACTTCTGAGCTAGATGTAACTGCGCAGACGAATCCTTCTCTGGTAGGGGAATCCGCTTGGAAAGCTCAGATCGGTCAGGATAGTGGCAACGGGGGACAAGACTCTACCAAAAAGACTAGCTCGGGAACGCCAAAACAGGGGCAGCTCTATAAGCCAGCCTCTGATGTAACCTCCAGTCCAAGTTTCTCCTTCCCCTTGGCCCTAGTACACAACAAACACAAGCATAGGGGTCCGGAAAAATCCAAACCTCCGAAAAAAGTGGTCAAAACTTTCGCGTTCACCCTTCGAACCTCGTCAGTTCAAGTAACCTTGTGATTTCAGTTTTTGGTATTGACCTCTATTCCATGCCTGTGACAGATGCGCCAGCATCCCAGCATCAAGACGTTGTTGCTGAAGCCAGACCTGAACTTGTTGGTGAGTTTGAGAGGAGTGCTTTTATTCTCTAGGAGAGACAAAAAGGATGAATTGGAGAGAATCTTACAAGAAATTTGTGTGTTATTAGAGGAGTATAGTGCAAAGGAGGAAGCTATGAGCCTCAACAACCTTATAGGATCCTCAGAGAAAAATGAGATTATAGATGCAGGAAAAATAGGGCATGAGAATTCAATTAGAAGTCCAAACAAGGTATTTACTGGGAAGTCTGGCAAGGTTATGGAAGAGGGAATAGAAGTGGGGAACTCAAATCAATGGGGAGGAAAAGGAAAAAGAAATAAGAAGAAAAGGTCGGAGGTAGAGAGGTTAATTTCAGATATTGAGGGTGACATTGAATTTAGTGCCCGAGGGGATAGAAGAAAAGAGGCAAAGTAAGGGGACTTTTGGTGGTAGAACAAAAGTTACAAGGGTTAACTAGCAAGTTTTTCTCATGAAGATTGTCAGCTGGAATGTTAGAGGTCTAGGGAGTGCCAAGAAAAGGAGAGTAATTAAGGATCTGCTAAAGAAAGAGAGGCCTGATATAGTCTTGCTACAGGAAACAAAGCTACAAGAGCTCGATAGGAATTGGATTAGAAGTGTGTGGAGAGCCAGAGGAGTGAGTTGGTCCTCATTGCCATCGTGGGGAGGATCTGGAGGTTTGGTTACCATATGGTGGGAACCATATAATTTCTTCCACAAACCTTGTATTTCCATCTGGAGGTTTTGTCCTCCCACAAACCTTGTATTCCATACAATTTCTCCCACATCTCAATCTCTTTAAAATTCAGAAATGTGGATGATGGTTTTATCTGGGTTCTAACCAATTTGTACGAGCCAAATAACTATAGGGAAAGAAACAAGATGCGGGAGGAATTGTATGGAATACAAGGTTTGTGGGAGGGGACCTTGGTGTGTGGGTGGGGATTTTAATGTAATCAGATTTTGTAATGAAACCAGCAACCCACGTCAGACTATCACAACTAGCATGCGAAAATTTAATGAGTTCATCAGTACTTGTGAGTAGAAGGAGATTCCCTTGTTGCAAACTATGTTCACTTGGTCAAATTTTCGAGAAAACCATGTCAGCTCTAAGCTGGATGGATTTCTTTTCAATGAGGGGTGGGAGAATCACTAGAGGGATTTAGTGGCTAGAGCCCTACCTAGAGTTACTTTTGATCACTACCCTATTAAACTCGGCCAAGAATCCTTTGGAAATGGACCAAGACCCTTTAGGCTTGAAAACATGTGGTTAACTCACCCGGATTTTGTGAATAAGATAAAGGAATGGTGGAACGAAGATTTGAGAGGAGTCAAGTGGAAGGGGGTTAGATTCCACAAGAAATTAAAAAGGCTTAGAGCCAAATTGAAGGAGTGGAACAAGGCCCAGTTCGGGAGAGTGGAGGAACAAAAATCCCTCCTAATGACTCAAATTGAAGAGTTAGATGAAAAGGAGAATCAAGATTCTTTGAGTGTGCAAGAAAGAGATATGAGATGGAACTTAAAAAAAAGAGTTGGAAGATGTCCTCTTGAGTGAAGAAATTTCCTGGAGGCAAAAATCAAGGAATTCTTCCATTCCTTAGCCAATGGGAGGAGGAGGAAGATTTTGTGGGTAAGCTAGAGGTCAGTGGTGAAGAGGTTTCCTTTCGGGATGGGATAGCATGCATTTTTGTGGAGCACTTTAAAGCAATATTCAGGAGGCCCTTGAATACTAGGTAGAATCTGGGAGTTTTTGAATGGCAAAGATTGGGAGAGGACTTTAATGTTTGGTTGGAAAGGAGCTTTGAAGAAGAAGAAATAAGACAAGCAATTTTCTCAATGGATAGGTCAAAGGCATCGGATCTAGATGGGTTCACTATGGTTTTCTATCAGGATTGTTGGGAGGTGATTAAAGATGATGTTATTAAGGTTCTTAAGGAGTTTGAAGATGGTTTTAAGGTTAGTCCAGGAGTCAATGCCACCTTCATCGCCCTAATCCCCAAGAAAGGCGAAGGTGCTCTCAAGAAGAATCAAAGTGGTGCTTTCCTCAATTGTTAGTTAGGCTCAAGGAGCTTTTGTACAAGGCAGTCACATAACTGATCAGATATTGATAGCTAATGAATGTGTAGAGGACTTTCGGAGGAGTGGCCGACAAGGGTTTGTATGTAAGCTGGATTTAGAAAAATCCTATGACTTGGTGGATTGGACCTTCCTAGTGGAGGTACTTAGGAATTGTGGTTTTGGAGAGGTGGTGCAAATGGATTTTTGGGTGCATAAGCTCTTTCATTACTTGGTGTTAGTTAATGGCGTTGTAAGGGATTTCTTTCCAGCCTTTAGAGGACTAAGACAAGGAGCAAAATACCAATTACCCACCTCCAATTTGTTGATGATATAATAATCTTTTGTGAAGGGGATGATTTAAAGAGGGTAAGG